GTAAAAGTAAAACAAATGAACGCTAAAGAAAAGTGCTTCTTTTTGATCATCGCTTCTGTTCGCAAAATGGCACTTTTCGATTCATTCGAATAAAATAGTAGTTTTCGATACAAGGGCGAAAAAATGTTTACTTCACACTTTGACTGAGACCCAGGAAAGATAAGAATATCATATTCCAATGTATCAGAGACCTCTTTCCATCTGTTATTGCCGTATTCACACCATTTTTCACATTTTAACATCTTTTTTGAAGTGGCACTGATGAACTTCCCACTTTTTAGTAGCTAAATGGTGCCTTGGAGGTTAGCAAAAAGTTGCAAGGCTTTCGTAGTTCTTCCCCCCAAAAAAACTAAGCCAAATGTCCGTAATACCTGCTAGTCTCTGGTAGCCTAAAAGTTCATACTGACACGAACATACAGTTTGTCCCGTAATGGGATCGGTGAAAATGGGACGTCCTGTATCACAGCATCTCTGCGCCGAAGCTGGCGGCGTGCCAGGCGTAGGTGCCGAAGAAGTCACAGCCATACCGGAAGGTGGTGGGGAGGTTTGCGAAGGGCCCGAAGATACTGCGCTCTAAAACAAACGAAACCCAAGTTAATTGCGCCTACGTCGGTTCATATTAATTTTTCACAGTGGCATTCGCAAGACTAAACTGAATAAGTAATTCGATTTAACAGGCCGCCGAATTTTAGGCAGTTGCCGTGCACATTCGCCCTTATGTTGCGTCTTTGTAAGGGCCAAAAGGGCCGAATCTAGGCGAAACGGCTGATATGTACACGTCGGTAAACAGCAGAGCGATTTGAGCCAGGGGGAAGCAAGGTGAATGAATACTGGAAAAGGAGAACGAGGGGTTTCGGTAACACGCCCCTCAAGGAAAAAATGGTCGGTTGTACAGTAGTTTGGGGGATGAAAGTATGGCAGTTTGTTGCTAGTTTACGCCCCGTTTAAATGTTCATTTGGCATCGAAGTTTGCACATTTGCAGCAAAAACCAACAAAGAGTCTTAAATTTTATTAGAAATTCAATTTAAATTTTTTTAAATTTTCCCTACAATGAAAGCTTGTTGCAATTGAATCGCGTTAAACACCCGAAGCAACAAAAGCAATTTGTACTAAAAATAAAGTTTGCATTGTGTGGATAAGTCAGCGTCAACTTGCAGCTGATATTTTTATCAACACACAGTCAAATTCTTCGCAAATTGAATATCACCATTAGAACCCGGATTTCTGCTTAATAAAATAATAAATAAAATTCTGAAATAATAAAACAGGCGTTTGTTAACTAAAGCGAATGAAATATGCAAAAACACGTCATTTGACATGTTTTTGCGCTTTCAAAGCGCTCAAGTTCAAAAGCTACAGAGAAGCTTTTCCACTAACAAAAATATTCTTTGCAATAATTTTGCACATGAGTTTTAGTAAAATTTCACTGGTGTGTTTCTCGGTTTTCTTCAGAATACACTTTAGTTTTGTGCAAAACATTCCCAAATTATTAAGCTTTTGAAGCGCTTTTTTGGACAATTTTGTATTATTTAATCAGGAGCATCACTACAACCAATTGAGCAGCGCAATTGAAAAATTTCCTGAAGAAAACGGGGAAAATTTACCCACAATTTACTTTCTTCCAGTCGATTATGCCACAAAAGTTATTGCCGGCCGATCGGCTTAAGAAGATTTATTCTAGTAAAACTGTGTCAATAGTCGATGGTAGATCTCACATATCTTTGAAGCGACACAATCACACCGGTTCGGTTCCATTTCTCATACGAACAGTTGTATAACCAATTCCTTGAGAATACTCTCAGTAATGACAAAGCCATAAATAATTCATAAGAGCATGTCTTGGACAGATTAAAATAAAATGAAACAAGGCAAATCTCGGCACATATCGAGTATATAAAACATTAACCTGTCGGCGAAGGCCCATAAATAACGAACGAAAATAAAAATCTGCTTGAATGCGATCAATAATTAATTTTTTAATAGGACTTTAATCAATGTTAATTGTTTATTTATACGTTTTAGGTTTTAATTATTTTGCGAAGTGGCGTTTTTTCAGCGGAGACTCGATCTGTGTCGAGTCGTTTGTTCCAGAGATGTGAAGTGGATTGTTAATTTTAATTGATACAAGTTTTTTTTTGCTTTTCACTTACGCATTAGGTACTGCTGCTAGTGGACCGTTTTATTGCTAAACAGTTCGGAAAAATGTCGACAAATATTTAACCAAACATAAATGTTACCACTTTTAATAAGCTCGCTATTAAATCGCCCAGATAATAAACAGTTTTATAGATCATATAGGGCCTATTATGAAAGGATTTTTATTGCGGATTTATGAACCATTTGAGATTATGGCCGCATTAAAACAGATTTTTTTCGGTAAATATCCGACATACGTTTAGGTAAAAGTTAAGGATTTTATGGCCGATTTTGTACGCTTATAGAAAATGTCCGAAGAAACTCAATTAAATCGGATCCATTAAGAGTAACATGCGAAGAAAATCGTTGGATTCAACCGCGAACTGTTGCAAGCAGAATGTGATCAGTCCATCGACTTGGTGGGCTCAAAATAGTTACACACAAAAAAGAAAAATTGAAACATTGTTACAAATGGGTCCAAATGTTCAATAATCTATTTTTCATTTTTTAAATCAGACAGTGATTTATTCTTTACACCAATTTAGTGACAATAAAATCTTCGAGATCTAGAGTGTCTTTAACTAAAAGCTGTAGCATTTTCGCATTTTCTTGCTTGATTCTTCTCATGCATGATTTTCTGTTGGAACAAATACAGCGAGTTTACCAATAAAATCACAAATTTTTTCAATTATTTCCGCTATTGTTTCTTCACTGACGCTTTTCTTTCCTTTCTCCTAGTTCCTAATGTGTCCTGGTTTCAGTCGAAAAAGTTCCTCTTATTTAGTCTCCACACCATTTAAGTGATGATGAAAACTCGGAAATTGTCTTTGATCAAAAGTGGTTGCATTTTCCTGTTTCGCTCTACTCATACATGATTGTCCAATCAAATTGTTTCTTCAGCTAAGCATGAAAGTCGCTGGCTTTTAACGCAATCAGTGGCACTTTTCAGTTCTTTAAATGGGTATGTTAGAAGTTAGATAGTTATATTGAAGTGATGAGGGAAAATCCGATAATGTCTTTGATCAAAATTTGTCGTATTTTCTTTCGCTCTAAAAAAAATAAGTTTTCACTTTTCAGTTCTCTATGGAATTTTGTGAGCCTAAATTTCGAAAATAGAAGCAAATGGGCTGCAAAATTTGCAACAGTTTTGTAATGATGAAAACTCTTCAATATGAATAAGTCGGGGGCGCGTTTACCGTTAATGAGTGAATATACAGTTTCGTAAAAAAACAGCTTTTGAAATGTTTGCAAAACAAAGCAAATGAGAAAAAAGTCCATAATACAGACCAAAATTCAGCCACTTAAAAGACGAAATTTTTGTTTGGGAAAGGGCCAATTCTTGCTCTACCCCTCGTGTTGGAAAATAAACTGTCGTGAATTTCCAGCAGAGTTACATAGATGTTATTTGGCACTACCAATAAACGATTGTCTCTCTTATTGGATAAAAGCGCAGCGGCAGCAAAAGACTAGTCCCCTTTAAAAAGGTATTAAATATAACAGTGGCAGATGGTTTCAGCCCCTATTTTTAGGGTGTTAGTGACGCCGAGTTAAACCCATCAAAATAAATATTAAATCGGTATAAATTCAGAGCGAGCGACTCGCATTTTTCGGTCGCAAGATGAAACTGGGGGTTCGCCTCTTTTGTGTGCTGCTCAACAAAAAACGAAGCTGTTTCGAACCAAATGGCAACTGAAACCGATACTTAAAATGTTGATCATCACTTTAGTTACAGTTTCCTAAAACCGGGCTCCATAAAGTACGCGGGTAGTAACTTTTTGCATTATCCCGCCATTTACACGATTACGTATGTAATCCATATAAAAGTCAGCAATTTTCGCTTTATATGGGCATGTTAACACCTTGATGGGAAACTTAAGTGCTACCTGATAAATTTTGTATTACAACCCATTATGGTTCGGGTACTCAAGTTGCACTTAATGCCGTCTAATGAGCTGCCGCTTTTTGTTGCTTGTTTATAAATGTCATGAAATCCGTTGAGTAATATTCAGCAGAAATGCCAATAGCAACATTCCGAAAACATTTTAATGTCTACATTGTTATTCAACTGCCTGCTTGGTTTTCTTTTGTCGCGAAACCATCTGCAGGGTTTATTTCGTGTTTTACCCAGCAGCAGAAAGCAACTCATATTTACCTCATTTTCCAAATATCAAACTAATTCCGAGCCAGACAGTAAGAAGTTCAGATTTTACAAGTTTCCAAACTGATATTTTTGCTCCGAATTTCCCAATTGTTACAGAAAAAGCTTCAACGGAAACGAATGCAAAAGCGTTCAACAAACAATCGTCATCACTTATTTTTTTTTAAGTGCTTCTGTTCAATTGAAATATTGGGATTATCGACGAAAACTCAGTTGATCCCTGCACAAACAGCGGAAATAAAAAATGTGCTCTTCAACCATTTTCTGCCAAAAAGCTTGCCTGACTTTAGAAGATTTTTAAGTGTTTGCACAAGATTCAATTCTGAAAACAAACCTTCACTCCGTGGCTAATTTCATACTTTCTCTTGCGTATCTTGTTGAAAACATTTTAAGGCTCGTTTGAAAACATTTCCTTTGGCTCTGATTTTTTTTCACAAAATTTATTTGCTAGAATTCGTTCCTGCATCATCAACAGCAATATTATAAGCAAAAAAGTCTTTATTCATTTTCTGCTGTTTTCAGCATTTCACTTGGCAGTTTTATATTCAACTGAAAATGAAACTAACAAGTGAAATGCAACATTTGAATTTTCTATTCTATTTTTGTGTGTCAGCTGTTTTTAAATTTACTTGTTGCAATTAATGAGACAAAAATCAGAAACTGAATAAATAACAATCAACTGAAGTCAACAATTTTAAAACAAAGGCTCTAAATATCGCCCGAAAAAGCTTGTAGAAATGTCGGTGTTTTTGCAGAACGCAAAAATTAATTTTTCTGCATCATTTTCAGTTGATTCACTCATTTGCTGCGACATTCTATCGCGCATTTCGTTCTATAATAGTGAAATTAAATATAAAGCAAATTTGCGGATTCAAATGAATTTCCGCTCCAATTTCCTGTTTGCTGCACAAATGTTCATGTTCAACAATCAAACAAGTCAAATGTTTGCCTGACAGTTTTTTTAAGAATCACTTTGTAGTATCTTGATTGTTCCCTTTTCAACTTATAATTAGTAAGTTAGTGTCTTTTTGAAAAACAATTTTGAATGCAAATGCTCTTTATTTCTTTTTATTTGCCTACTTCCTCTTACATATTTAACAGTTCATCTATTCGTTTTAGTTTCAGCTTTGCTCAATATTTCGAATGAGGACAGAATTCATAAATTAGTTCGAAATAATTAAAACAATTACGTTTTACAGAATAAAATATTGAATACTTTTTAACACGTAAAAACCAATGGAAGGTAGATTCCAATTAATGTCAGCTTTAAGTAGGTTTGAAACTGGTGAGCTTTTTGGGCTTCTAAGAACTCATGGAGCACAATTTTTCCTGTCGTTTGGTAAGCACGAGTGGTTTACATCTACAGACGAGGTTTCGTTCAATGACTTTCAAATTATCATGTTTTTCCAACAAATTAGACCTTAAATAACTGGAAACTGTCGACCAATTTCACTAAAAAACTGCATTTTGCATGGACACGAATCTGTCTTCGACACATAAAACTGGGCATTCCCATATAGAAAAAATAAATGAAAAAACAATTTATTTACGGCCGTACACATCGCTGCAATAACCGTGGGGAAATATAATATAAATACAGAAATTTATAGGCTGTATTTATTGCGAGAAACGCTTCAGCCCTATTCGCATGTAATTGATTTATTTTCGTTTTTCATGCCGTTGGCTGCGTATAGATCAAATAGTGTTTTAACAATGTAACAGATAGTTTTAAACAAACCAGTTTAAAAATGAGATAAAAGTTCGGATTAGACGGTCCCAAGCGCAAGAGAATTCTCACCTACCCCGAACAAGATCAACCACTTCCGTAGCCATTATAGTCGAATTACCCACCCCTCGGTTCGCTTGGTGGTGGTCTAAAGTGTAGGGACACCTTTATTTGCGATATAAGCCTATTAAACGCATTAAAAGCATGAGTGAGAATCGAGATGATTTATTTGTCAATGGAATTAAAAGATTTACACAACTGGAACCAAGTTGACAGCAACAGAAAAGGGAGACGTATGGTTTGTTTAGGCCTTCTAGACGGTTGGAAAGGTGGGCTTTTTTGTCCATTTTTTCAATTTTTGTTGTCTTATTAGTAATGATTAATATTAGTTCGTTGGCTTTTTCTGGGTACACTTACGTTTGTTTGGTCCAACTACTGAAGGCAAAAACTGCGCCGATTAATTTACATTTCGCGAACCAACTGAACAGAAAGTGAAAAAGACACGAAGTGCAAGGAGTGTTTCAGAAAATCCCCAACAGTAAACCGTGTGATTGACATGCAATTCCACACTTTTTGCCACTCAGTGGGTGTAATAAAATCCGAAAAGACAATCGGCAACACTTGTGCAACATTGCGTATTATTATTATTATTATAAATTTCCTTATCTTGTCGTACTCGATGGCGGAATTTATCGGCTTCAAACGCACCGACGGAAGAGCGCCTTATTTTCCATTTTTTACCGCATTTGCTAATAGAATAGAATTTATGTGAAATTTTCAAGACTTACTTTGTGGAGGTGGAGAAACACTGGGATGACTGGGAAAAGATTGAACCTTAACGCAGGATTCCACTCCCACTATTACTAGGAAGCGAATTAATTGGAAATATTTATGTAGAAAAATTATAACAAATGGTTGACAACAGCCTGGGTGTTCAATACCCTCATGGTGTTGTGTTTTAATTAGTACAAGAAGTTAAGCTTCGAATTTATTTGCTTAGTGCAGCGGACAATTGGATGACAAATTTCCAATTTTGACCCAAACGATCTCTTCTTCATGAGCCGCTAAACCTGGAAGGTTTCTAGACAAACCCCAGGTTGATTTTAGCACGTGAATACTAAAACCCAACCAGCTAAATGCTATGAACAAAGAGACATTAAACCGCAATTGCCAGCTCGACTAATAAATCGACATTTCCCTGTAATAGGTTCAAGCTTATTAGCTTATTTTCGCATTGTTTTATTTACTGATAGCGGACAAGGCATATTTGTTTAATATTGTGGCACGCATTACAACTAATTAACGGAACACCCAAGTCGATTATCATAAATAAAACATTGATTGCACTGCTCGTAAACATGTACATGCTAATGCAGATAATCACCCAAATTTTAAGCGATTTTTTTGTTGAAAATTGTTCATGAGTGAACGGAAAAAATAAGTGGAAATGGAAACGAACAAGGGCAAAGATGAAAAATTTTTTGTTTACATAATTGATCATATTTTTAAATAAATAGGAAAGAAAAGATAAATCTGAAATGGTTCGAAAATTGTTCTGTGTACTCATGAAACTGCTGCTAAAAAATAGACGCTATTTCATGAATAGGGAAAAACGGGAAATGCAAAAAGAAAACTAAAGATGGACTAAATAATGACGCACAGAAGCAAGCAAAGTTGAAAAGCAGAATACAAAAAGCATTATACTTTTTCACACATGCAACTTTGTAATGTCGATGTTAAAAACGAAGCATCAAAATTAATCGGAGTTTAAAGCAAGTGATCAAGGCAGGAAGCAATAGAAACAACTGTAGAGAAAATAGAAGTGATAATTTAAGAGTTACTACTACAAAAAGGAAAGATCAGAAACAAAATCTGCAGAGAAGTCATGCGCGATTGAACAGTCCGAAACGGTGCGGAAATTCTTTTGGACGCAATTTCATGTTGAGACAGTTGACAGACAAGAATGAAGCAATTATAAGAACTGAATAATGACAAAAATCAGCAAGTAAAAATGAAAGCTTTATCAGAAAATATTTTCTTTTATTTGTATGTAAGTTTGCCCTTTCTACGCTTAAAACTGAGCTGCAAAATGAATGAAAATTCAACGCAGCTAGGCACAAATAGAAGCAACTACCAAAAAAATTGAAAAGTTTAAACAGTTACTAAAAAAACAAGGGAAACTTTGTTCATGGTTTTCTTCATAAGAAATCTGCAAATAAACCATGCGCTTGAAAAGTCCGAAGAGGTGCGAAAATTATTTTGGGGGCAATTTCTTGTTCAGACAGAAAAAATCAGGAAGCGACCAAAGTGAAACCGAGGATGAAGCAATTATAGGAAGGAAAAAATGAGGGAAATCAGCAAGCAAAAATGAAAAGCTTCAACGGAAAACATACAGATACCGATAAGTGAAAAGTAGACTTTCCAGTAGAAAAGCCCGACTTTTACTCGAATTATTGGTGTATAAATAACCTACTTTAAATTATTGTTATCGATCTCTTCACTCGGTCTTCAATAGACGAAAATGGGTTCGGTCAGTGTAAATCAGCGGTTATTTTGAAAAATTTGTTCATAAATTCGGATAGATTAGGACAAAAGGAATAACATTCAGCATAGAAGTGACTTGCAACTGCCTGAGCCGAAAGTAGCAATATTAGTTGACCCAATTTGCATTTTAGTTCCATGCAAATTCAATGAAACAGTCGAATTTTCTAAATCAATTGCAGCAAAGCAACAAAAATTTAACGGCATTTTCCCTTCTATTATGCTTACTAATTGCCTTGAGTGTTATAGTTATATTTGTCGGCCAGTTACCGAACACCCTGTGAATTATCCAGCAGTAAAAAGTTTCCAGAATATATCCCAAAAGGCATTTTCTTCCTAAACAAGAAACAGTTAACTGATTCAGAAAACGCTTCGGGGAACTAGAATTATGGACTTTTATAATGAAGTGTGTGTCATACATTGTTAAATTATGCGAAGCTGCATGCATAATATCGCGCTTTGTTGCTTGAAAATGCTAAATAAAAAGCGATTCTGGAGTGAATTAAGGGCATGTTACTGAATGTGTTGCGCTAAGAAATCGAGCTGATACCGAAAAATTGCCGAAGCCGTTATGTAGAACTCGTTAGCTAATTGCAATTGCCTATCATTGCAAGCGAGCGACTTGAAAAATTATCTGTAATTTATAGACCTGTAATTATACCGGTAGGCATGTTGTTGCGATAGATAACGGAAATGTTAACGAAAAGGTTCAATTAGGGGGTACCAGATGACGTACCTGAGTGCTCGGAGATGCTCTGAATCCAAACTGGGACATAGTGTCCCAGCCGTGAACTTCTTAGTGTCCGGATGGTTCGTGAAACATGGCAATAGCGCCCCGACTGATTCTGTTGCACTATTGGCCCAGAACAGTGGCGAAATTAAGTCGTTGAAGAGCGATGGAGGGCACCGACCGTAAAACTTGCCTTTTTCCTGGTCCTTCACACTGCGGCACTTTTCCAAATAGTTTCCCAAAACAAAAACTGATTCGAAACTCCAGACACAACAGCGTTTGATTGATAGATGCGGATGAGTTCCAAGTTCACTTCCAAGCAAGTCACTTAAGTATTGATGAGTCGAGATCGCGTCGCGCAATAGTGAAAAGTAGCGATGTTACTTAATCAGGACGTCGTCGAAAGCCAAAATATGCACGTGGCTGTAATGTACCCGCGATGTAAAATTCAGAAGCTCGATCGTCAGGTAAATTACCCGGTAGCGTACTTCTTTCGTCTAACCGCAAATTTTTGCCACCGATGTTGATCGGCTCCACCCACCGTGCGGGGGGTAGAAGCCCGAGGGGGATTGAGGGGGGAAGGGGTAGCAAAAGCTCGTCTATGTGACGCGTCCTCGATTGTGTGGTTAAATCGTCCTCTTTTTGCCAGCGTCACTTCGCGACTACCGATGTCACAAGATTCTTTTAACTCAAACGACAAATTGTGTGCGCGGTCCGACTACGAGCGAATCGAAAAAAAGGCCGTAGCGGCGGGGAGCAAAGCAAGTCTTTTGAGACTACTGACTACACACTGCATTTTTGCGGACGCGGGCCCGTATTCCCCTCCGGAGGAACGTGCCACCACCACAAAAATTCTGCCCTACTTCTTTTCGGAGTTGGGCGGGTTTTTTCTGGCCCCCACCACCGGCGGAACGATTGATGAGCGGCGGGCCCGCCTATTTGTGTCGCCC